TCAACTCCCCTGTATCTCCGAATACTTTAAGGAGATGTCCCAGCGCTACTTTGACAGCGCCGAAGCTCATCCGAACCCCCTAGTGGTAAACGCAGCCAACTACGTCCCGATACCGAACGTCGCGCCGTTTCTCCGTAGACCGCGTAATGTATTAATAGAGCAACCGCGCTCGCTCGATCCCGTCGACCCAAACGTCGCAGGCACATCACACACTGACACTACACCCACACCAATTGGGACAAACACTAATAGGACAACGGAAGGGGCGCGTCGCACCCGTAGGCGGGCACGACGCGTTCCAACACACACCGCGTACACACCGTACACCCGCGTGCCTGGGCGGTTCTCACCGCCCAGAACATCGACCGATACGAGCTAAGCAGTCAGAGGCAGGGGTTCGCATTCCCCCCCTCGGACTGCGGTTAGATAGCTCAAAATAAACCTCTACGGAGGGGACATGATGATTGGTAACAATACCAAATCACAAACCATCATCATCCTCATCCTTATCCCAGCTACCGCCTTTCCACTTTTAAATAGCTCGCGGCCTTTCAGGCCGCGAGCCCTGCGTCCGATGAAGCTGTAAGAACCGCATAGGTTAACAGCGTAAACATCACAGAAAATAGTTTATCAATCGGAGCGTTGGCCGCTCCCCGGGCAGAACACCTTTCCCGGCGGGAGATCTCCCCTTTTCCTTCCACCAGCTACACCTGTTTCAGTTTGCTCAGTCGTCCTAAAAGTCAATGGGTCAAATTTCTTTTACTTATACTTTGTCGAATGTTATATTTCTGAATCATGACTGCGACGTTCCCGTTTCATCTGTTTTAGTCATATTTTAGAGGAAAGTTACAAATGGGTACATGTTTTCTACGCTCGGACCGATAAAAATAAAATAATGAGTTCGCTGGTACACTTCCACGGACAACGAATAATAATCCGATATTAATCATTTTATATTTAGACTGAGCTTAGCGACGAGCTACACGCTAACACAAAGTTCAGTATCATTAAAAGTAAAATACATATTTTGTTATACATAAATTATGCTATAACTAACACATATATTTAGAACGATAGTAATTGTGAATAAGATTATTTTTATAATTATAGATCGCAGATGCTAGCACTGCTGATATTGGCAATTATAATTTTAAATGCTGATTTAGCATAGAGAAACACTTTAAGAAAACCTGCTACATGAAGGTTTTCTGAAGATGTTTCCCTTCATCACATTATCGTTACATATTCTTTTACATGATCGCCAAGGTTAGCAAGCGTCATTAGCAATCGTACCCTGCGTCTCGCACTCATGTATTTACTTTCAGTCACCTGTTTAGTTATTTTCCTTCTGGCATATTATTAGAAGTTTTAGGCAACCCTCATGAGAATAGACCTATTCAAGGAAGCAAGCAAATACCTTCGGTACGGGCTACAGCTACGCTAGAGCGTGTTACTGCAGCACGAATCGATTGGCTCGACTTGGTAATGACCAGGCTCGCACAGAATACCATCTTGAAATAGCAGCATAGTCATACTGTTATTCTATTTCATCATCATTACAGCCCTTCACAAGTCCACTGCTGAACATAGGCCTCCCCCAAAGAATCTCATGGGGGGTATATTGCCATAGTTGCCACGCTTGGCGAGCGTGTTGGCAACCGCAGTTTTTTTATTGTTATTTTGACTAATATCAGGAAGATGCTGCTGCCCATCTCCTGCCTGTTTCCCTTTGTCGCCTTTTACGACACCCACGGGAAGATATGGGGTAGTGGATATTCTTAACCGCCACTATTATATTATATTATTCTATTTAGTTGACATAAATATGGTAAGTGTTTTACAAGCCTGAAGAGATTAATGAACAAATAATTAATTGATGTAAACCTGATAAAAGTATAATTAATGTCTTTTTTACCTTACCTCGAGATCGGGGTTCTTTAAGTCAATATATGATTTATCAATATTACAAACAAATTCCAATTGATCTCGTAAATATTTGTTCTTCTAGGAGATCTAAAAGAGCTGAGTTACTAAATAAACACAACGTACTAAAGGTCAAACGGCAAAGAAGTACTATTTATTACTAACCTATAGAGAAAATTCTTAAGAGATTAATATTCATTAGCCTGTTCAGATAATTTTATATATATTTTTTATTATCAATACCAGACGGCCTATAGAGGAGACGGAATGTTATACCAAACTTAAAACTGTAATGAATGAACACGAATTTAAGCATTTTAATTTCCTAAGAAGCAAAACTCACTACTGTTAGCCTTATAAATATCGAAACAGAAAAAAGAAACAACGGAGACAGCGTGAAAATATTGCAACACGAACGTAGCAGGTGCGCTCCGGCAGCGTCAATAAGAAACGGAGCAAAAGGGGGAGAGTTTAGATATAAACTTAAGGTTATTGTCGTGTTATTGGTCGGCGAGTTAAGGATGCTTAGCGAGAGATTTATATGGGTCTGCTTATTTTATTTTCTACCAAGAAAATAGAATTGCACCTCCTGTATTAAACTAAGTAGCGGTTTATCCTCGGAAGGAAACCAACAATTTGATGAATAATTATTGTGGGGTTTCTGTTTCTATTTGTTTCGTCCATCCATTTCAGCCTTTAAATGTCTACTGCTGAAAATGACCTCTTACAGGGGGTTTTACCGTAGTTGACTTGCTTGGCATATGGGTTGACAGTCGTGGGTTTTTATTATTTTTGTACTGTTATCAGGAAGATGCTGCTACTCATCTCCTGTTTCACTTTTCCTGTTGGTGAAATTTTTTAAGGCTATGATCCATTGAATTATATGTACAACGTACTAGAGAAGCCATTCTTAACAAAAAATGTTCACTACTCTATGTCTTCGCGCATGCACGGGAGATAGTAGAGTCGCGCATACGCACTTGCGCTACCACAAACTAAATAGTAGATTGAAACCACACTAAATGTCACACTGTACGGATTGCAGTACAGTTCAGTTGAACATAATGTATGTTCGGAATACGCAATCTAGTACGTAGTATATATATAATATATCGATGCTATGATCTCAATCAAAATACATCAGGAATTTACAATGTAAAACTAGTACCCAAATGCAAATTAAAATCCTACAGGAGCAGATTTCCCCATATTATGTATACGCTGCGTTACAAATTTTAATCCATATTCAACGGTTTTTAAGCTTCAACGCTCACATGGACGTGAGCGGAAACGGAAAATATAATTTCGATATCATTGTGATGCATGAGGTTTTAAAGTAGTGGAATGAAATTTTGCTATTTGAACTTTGTACCGTAAAACATTTTAACGGCGTTCTAAAAAAAGTCAGATGGTAATATATTCGACGCGTATGTTTTCTATGAATGATCGCCGATTTCTCGAAAACGGCTGAACCGATTTTAATGATTCTCTTTTAAAATGTCATCCTCAAGAGTGGAAACCTTTACCTCCTTACAGCCTATTAAAGTCTATTACTAAACATGGGCCTCACTCTTAGATTGCCTCATAGGGGAGATATTTGCCATAGTTGGCACGCTAGGTAGGCGGGCTGGCAATCGCAGTTTTTTAATTTTAGTCATTATTATGGAGATGTTGCTACCCATCTTCTGATTTTTTTCCTTCTGTCGCCTCTCACGACACCCACGGGATGATTCAGGTACTATATACCATGTAGTGGCAGTGTAAGAGTTGAAACGAATAAGTGATAAAGATAATATGTACATAATATATTTAAACGAAATTCTATTTCTTACCTTGAACATGTGAATATCAAGGTGAGGCTACTCGAAAGGGTGAGTTAATTAAACTTTTAATAAGTAAAACTGACTTAATCTAAAAAAAATATTTCCACATAGCAGAAGTCTGAGCTTTAATAAGACTAGCCGAAAAAATTAAAAACTTTTTTCAGTTTTAATTTACATTGAAAGTTTCATGATCTTTTAATAAAATAATGGTGACTATCAAGCACTTTTAGGATAGGGTGACAAACGAGCACACAGTCCACCTTATGGTAAGTGGTTGCTGTGACCCTATGGGTCTAGACATCTACATTTATCCTCAATAAGGAATCAAAATGCAGATGCGTCGTCCCCATGAGGACTAAGATGGAATGCCTCTTCCCAGTAAAGTGGGTCTCCGGTTCTCTACACTCACCATACGAAACAGAGCAGTGTCAAGCTGCCATTTTACGCTGGTATTCTGTGAGAGCGTGGTCCTTCCCGGTCGAGCCGACCTATTCGTGCTACAACCATACTATTAATATATCTGCAGCATGGCTCTACCACGTAAAAATCATATACATTTTGATAGATAAGTAAACGATGAAAAATGCCTCTCTTGTCACTCCTGAAGAATTAGTTAAAATACCTCGTTACTAGAAAAGACTATAAAGATGGTACGTGCTGATGCGTTACGTGTGGGACTATACGAAACGCAACAGCATTATTTTGCTCTTTTACGGTGGTGTATTCTCCTAGAGCGTGGTCCTTTCTCATTCGTGCCATTAGGAACTAATTACATAAAGTAATATATACTAACTTAAAAAAAATTAATACTTGGACCTCACTAAAACGAAGATCATACAGGTGAAAAGAATTCCTTTCTGTTTTTTTGCTAAGGCTATTTAAACTGATTAAGAGATAGTGCTTCCAGGGTAAAGCATACAGCAGTCACGTATGTTTCGGCCATGTTTGGCGGCAATGACAATTCCTTCCAATATTATTTGAGTAAACAACTTAAGGCAACTTGATAGGGCTGCTGACATTAAAGGTGATATTGTATCAAGAGCTAAAATAGAGAAATCGTCACTACTTTTGGGCTGTTAGTAATATTTCTTTCCTCAGAATTTTTTAAAATGATATCCCCCATATGTATTTACAAAACTTCTTAATCCTAAAAGCAGCAGTAATAATAGTAATAATATGCTTAAAAATATAATATTCTTAGAAATAATATTATGATTTAATATCAGTGTATAAGTCTCAAGTTTCTTTATATCTTTGTCCACAGAAGCGGGAGGCTTTCGAACCATGGAACTGCGTATCACACCAAGGGTGGTTCAGCGAGGGAGGAACGTCACCATGGCCTGTTTACATCAAATACACGACAGTGAAATCTACTCTGTACAGTGGTACAAGGGTACGCAGGAGTTCTATAGATATACGCCATTAGAATCTCCAACAACTAGAGTTACGCCTGTTAGTGGAATTAAAGTTGACGTAAGTATATTATGGTAGTTTCATTATATTTACGCTATTTTTTACTTTAGCCTGTAAACGTCGCCTATCACTGTGTTGGGAGAATTTGCATTAACTGACTCGCTTAGGAGACGGGCCTACGGTTGCAGAGCCTTACGTACTACGTCGGCATTTAACATTTTATATACCTTATATATGGCTATCTAACGGAAGCCGTAAGATTTTGTCTGGTGTTTTTCATAGGCGTTTCTTACGCCAACCACGGCAAAACATTGAGTGTTAGATTTGCTTCCGTCACCACAACATTGAAGTCAGCTACAATTAATCAAATGTTGTTTAAATAAACATATTAAAAATAAAAAATTAATCAGGGTGGCTGTGTCGTGGACATTGACGTGTGTTTTACGTGGCTACGTACAGCGAAACGACCTCAAAATGGCTGTGGTCCTCCCTTTGCCGCGTGCGATGTCTCACAGTCAACGTAACGAATTATCTGATACTGTAGCTATCGAGTGGTATTATTAAATTGTTGCTGTAAATGATGTGCAGCTGCAACACCAAAATGTATTACACGATTTCGTTATCATCAGTTTTCTGAATTGCCTCCCACTATGGAAGCAAATTTAAAGACGTGTTCACATCTAAAAGAACAGTCTTATTACATACTAGCTTCTACCCGCAGCTTTGCCCGCGTAATAGTCGAAAATAATATTTTTATTGCCACAAACCAGTATTGAATGTTACCATGTCAAGAAGTTATTGCCTACGAATTCTTTTGCGTGGAGCTCAAATTGCTTATGACAGGACACGTATTGTTACATTAAGAATTAAAGTAGGTAGTTTTTTATGACGTATTCGTTAATGAAAGGGTTTTAACTTCAGAATATATTAACAACTGTTTGAAATACTAAAGTAATTAATTTAAAAAAATTTAATAAACCTATAATCCGTTATTCTAGCTAATGCTATATAATGCTAATAGCTGATTTAAAGCCACTATTCGATGTTGCATACATTGTAGTTATAGACAATAGACAGGGATTTATTCAGCAACTTACACTCATACAGTTTTAATGTAAATAAAATAGTGCATACAAACAAAGACAAATAATAATAAGAGAATACAGACATAACATAATCCGCTTGCATACGTGAAGTGATGAAGAGGGCAATAAATCAATTCTGTCGTAAGGTTGCGGTAAAGCTCATTGAGGTTGGGCAAAAAAATAACACCTTCATCCCTAGATGATTTTAACACAAATGAATAAGCAACAACAGTGTGAATGTGCGCACAAACAAACAAGTGTGCGCACAATACTTTGGAGTGCAGCTGAAAAATAATGAATACTCGAAATGTCGCCGACTTTAAGCGAACGTGGGCGAGTACACACAATAATCCCCTCTGCACATTTATAATGTGTGTGCCGTTAGTTGCCCGATATACGTGGTAAAGACAGGTCATGACGCTTATTCCTGGCGCTTTTTTGGTTAATTTTCATCTCAAATACACAAGGTTGCGCTACCGCCATCGAAGGTCATGAGATTTTATAAGTAAATTTGTTAAAGCTATAAAATTAATTAGCTAAATTCAAAGATCCGGTTTAAAAATAAAATTACTCGTTAAGGCCAGATTGGATAAAGTATCCTATTTTAGTAGACACAAATTTGACGCGCAAGAATTGATACTAGTTGCAAGTATATATATAAGTTGCATGAAATACTGAACTAAATTCTTAATTGAATGGATTTTTCAAATACTTTATATTAATCGAAATAAAAAAATTGTGACTTAATCGCCGGAAAAAAACTTTGAAGTTCGAGTTCTAGTTTTATTAATTTAAGCGATAACCATATAATATTTTTCTATAGTATGAAAGGCTAAGATCGCAAGTAGTAGTAAGTAAAGTAATTTCGCACGCGTACTTACTGCTGGACAAATATGCATGCAGCAGAGAAGAGAGAAAACCCGCGTCTTAAGAGGTGAAATACGTGTCGTATTATCGACCGTGGTTATTCTAGTGTAGTGGTGTTGAAGATAAGCCGAAGCCTCGGCATTAAAATTTAGCGTGCGTGCATCTGAGGCGACTGGGACTCCGTGACGGTCCGCTCCGGACTCAGATGCAGAAGGCGGCGCTCCTCGATACCGCACGCATCGTCCGCCGGTTTCTTTCCCTTTCTTCCTAACCCTCGGCCGTTTGGTCTCCCCTGACGAGGGATATGGTCGGATTCTTATTTATTTATGTACTTTTATGTATTTAGTTTTATTTTATTAATATTTATGTAAATTTATCATTTTCATTTACATTTATATATGTAAACAGGCCAACCAGATGAGAAAACAATATAGTCTACCCCACATAATAATAACTATTAAAGTTTAAAAACTTGTAGTACATTGAGAAAAAATGTCTTACATGAAATAATAAAAATTAGGTAAAAACGCTGATGAGGGTGAAGTATTCTTCTCCTTGCTAGACTATAAAATAGCCTGTATTACAAAAAGGGAGCACAAAAAATATTCTTAACTTTTTAGTACTACAGATTATATATATAGTGTGTGTGTGTGTGTGTGCGTGTGTGTGTGTGTGTGTGCGTGTGTGTGTGTGTGTGTGTGCGTGTGTGTGTGTGTGCGTGCGTGCGTGTGTGTGTGTGTGTGTGTGTGTGTGTGTGCGTGTGTGTGTGTGTGTGTGTGAGAGAGAGAGAGAGAGAGAGAGAGAGTTTGTGAGTGCAAGAGGCAAATTCATCTTTGAAAATAAACGGAAATAAATGATTTTTTAATTATTTTAAAATTAAAAAAACAATTAATTAAAAAAAAATTATACTACCACGTTTTTTTCCTACATTGTCATCCAATTCCGAGCTACGTTCAAAATGTCAAGTCTCTAGCTCTTCGGGACATGCTCGAAATTTGAGTTGCATGATTCCCACTTAGAACGAGAGATAAACAAGAAAGTGACTTAATTAAAACCGTGGTAAAAAGAACCTCTCTATCATTATTTTAGCCAGTTTGTTCGTTCGATCATTTCTGCACAGCACGGTCCGATTAAGAAACATAATGTAGATATCTTGTCACCTCTAAAGACTAAGAATGCATAACGAAGCTACGACCACTACAAAGACTGTTTCCAATACATTCGAGCAGCCGCCACTCAAGACGATGCTACACAATAGCGTGTATTTTTCATGTCCACTAGCAATAAGTCCCGCTGAAACTCTCTCTGCTGAGTTCTCAACATGAGGATATGTGCTAAAACTACCTCGTTGGCCTAGTGGTCATAAGCGCAACTTCTGATCATATGGTTCTGGGTTCGAGTCCCAGTGTAGGCCAAAATTTTCATTGTTTATTTATGAAAATAAAATTCTCAATAGCGGCCCGAAGTCAGGAAGTTGGCAGTGTTTCACTGCCTTTGGTCTTACATCTGATCTGTAAGATCGCTAGTCTCTAGGTAAAGCCAGGCGGGTCACTAGGTATAAGTAAATTTCCTATAGTAATTATTATTTTTAAAATGCTACAGTTTCTTTTTGCTATTTGGCAGAGACTTAACTCCAACGAAACGCACGTGGTTCTGATGCGAGTTACACAAAACCTAAGCGGGAACTACAGCTGTGAAGTTATTCAAAATGCTCATACTTTCCCTCATTATACGGCCTCCGCGAGACTTGACGTCGTTGGTGAGTATAAATTTATTTTAAATTCAATTCTAACTGTATCATAATGCTTGTAACAATCGAGTGATGGATGGATTCTACATGGTAGGACTACTTTTTGCTCTAGAAGTTCGTTTCGGTTACCACCCACTTATCTACTTCTGCCGCCAAACAGTAAAGCGTACACTACAGACGCCCAGTCTGAAGGTTATAGTATATTTACAGGCTATGAGGGATATTCCGCTCAAAAAAGAGTTTAAGAAACAGTAAACTGAGCGAGCAATAGGCTTTAAAATAGCACTACTAACTGATGGACAAGAAAGGTTCTTGATGGAAGCCTCGTACCTGTAAGTGTAGAGTATAACGGCCTCCCACTAGATGTAGTTAAAAACTGGTAAATAATGAGAAAATTCTATGGACCGTGTTTTGTGACATTTCTTGTCATTTCCTGCATATGTTCTGCAGTGTACTTGTGAGGGGCTACAATTATATCATGTAAATATATCTGTTTATATTGACAGACTTTCCTAATCCACTGCCGTATATAGGTCATTTCAAGTCAGATTGTCACTAAGAAGCATTAACAAAATACTATATGAGCTGACGGTGAGAAGTAGTGCTTCTAGAGCGAAGGCAGTGTATACATAGGTGCAATATTGATAACGCACTAATGATAATGTAATATATGTATATATTCTTGTGTTGCAATTATGTATTGTGTAGCTTCAAATAAAAATATTTCTTGCTTTTCGAAAAAAGGACGAAATCCTTTTTTCGATTTTAGTGAAATATACTACGATTTTGTAAATAATGTATCCCTAAAAATATAATATAAATACCTGTAATGTTATATTTCAAACGTTGCGTCGCTGTTTTAGTGTATTATTTTAAATGATATTCGATTAACTGTTTTCGATATTATTCGACAGCTTTTTATAAAGTGTAGAGTCACAAACAGGCACATTGTACACGTGATAAAAAGTGGACACTGTGAAACATAGATACTTTTATCTGTAATCGATTGGGATTAAAAGGCAGTGTTGTTTGTGTCGATGACCTTTGAGGATTAAATTGAAATACTTTGTTACAAATAAAAGGGTCTCCGATTCGCTACTCTCACCATATGAAACGTTAGTTGTGCGAGCACGGTTCTTCACCGATCGCGCCGGTTAATTCGTGCTGCAACCATATTACAGCTTCAATTTGGATCTTTGGAAGCAACAAATATCTCTTTTGTCAACATTTTTAGATTTATTTTGTAGGTAGGTAGGTCAGGTGGGCATACATTTCAATACCGAAGAACGCTTTTCAAGAGTTCGTCAATTCTCGTGTTCTATGAACTGCCCAGTGACCATTAAATTGCACGAATGTGTTGATAATATAAAATTGCAATTCCATAGCTTAAGCTTATATTAGTACTATTTAAAAAAAGATATTTGTTGAAACGTTCTTTTGAATATTTTCATTGATTATTTCCAACCTTCTGATAGCAAATGACCGTGTAATGGCGGTGTTAGAATACCCACTACCCCATATCATCCCGTGGGTGTAGTAAGAGGCGACAGAGAGAAACCAATCAGGAAGTGGGCAGCAATATATTCCTAATAACGACAAAAAAAACTTGCCAAGCGTAGCAACTATGGCAAATACCCCCCTATATGGCAAACTATGGAGGAGGTAACGGTAGACTTTAATAGGTTGTAACGGTAACAGTAACGGTTCTGATAGCAGTTAGAGACTTCTACTGCTTTTGGAAAATGTAAGTATATATAATTGCATGCATGATCACTACGCTATCGTAAATATGGTATCAATTTCTTCAATACTACTTAGTTTACAATAAAGTGGCCAAATATGTTAGCCTTTATAAAGTCATCTATAAAAAAAATTACGTTTCGAAAGTAATTATCCATTGAAGTCATTATGTAATACGTACCTACTAGAACACACACCCTAAACAAAATATGTGCGGCAGTGCGGGGCTTATCTTCCTTAATAACTGGCTTTACGGCTCTGGGATCTAGCCCTTCTGAGCCTGAAGTTACAATATTATATTATAATAATTATTCTTCATAGTATACTGCTTCACAATATGTTGATGCGTCACATTGTGCAGCCCTCGGGAGATTTTGACGGTAACTTGAGCCAGTAGACAGCTGACGGTTGGCGATGGTATCTCAAGGCGCCTAAGCAGACAGGCACCTTATTTTGAGAATCACATCACTATCAGAGCACTTGTTTCACAGTTTCCACTAATAGTTCACATGCGCAGACACTTAATACACGAAATCGCTTTTACATATCAAAGTCCACTTCAAATCATTATTTAAACAATAAAACAGGAGCAGCAAATTGACGCCGGTCAAGTTCCCGCCAAAACTCGTAGTGCGGGGCGCGTGGAAGGAGGCATAGAGTAGGTACCGTTTTTATGGTACAGACTAAGTAACTTTGAACCCACGGGCTCTAACTGGTGCTGTAAAGAACCAAGTCTCGACGTCTCTTCTAGCACGTAGTACATATTACTTCAATGTAGTTATCAAATATTTTTCGGTCTGTTTTCACAATACAAGACATATTTTATACCCGGGGTTAACTTTAACGAAGTTAATAGCAATAATGCACAAATAAATAAGTAGTTTACTAAATAATTATATGTACATTCAATTTTATAACGATTTTTATTCAACGTTCTATTTTATTTTTGTATAAAACCATTACGGAATAGAAACTTAACGAGCTATTAACAGTACTATTAAGCATCAAAAGATAGTGGTTAATGAATAAATATCTCTTACTAGCCACATTCAAACACATATTATTAACTTAACTAAGAATTTCATACTTATTAAATGTATGTAATCGGAGGTGACTCAGCTTCTGCTAACACCGGAATACGATCTCATAAAGCGTTGGTTTTCAGGCACTTCGTCCACTGAGATGCTTTATGAGAATTGCGAGTTTACCAGTCACCATGTAATATTGAAATTATACAAAGGTCATTTTCTCTGTAACTCAGTGTCTGTGTCTGTGTAGGTGTGAGTGTGTGTACATTTGTATTATTTCAATAAAAGTTTATAATATTAAAAAAGAAAATAAAAAATTTAAAAAACCACTTAAATTTTTGTTTTGCATCTCAAACACACCTGTGTTTCATACTTTCTTCACCGAGTTGCCGTTTCAGCAATACAGATTTATACTTAGTTTAATGAATATGATGGAATATTTTTATTCAATATAGATAACAAGGAATAATTATTAGAACTCATTAATTTTTGTACTACTGGTATGTAAGAAAGCCTCTGAACTAGGAAGAAACAGCAATAAGCCCAGCGGAGCTCTGAATAAATATAAATGCGAAAAAAATACATTTATAAAGTACATGTTAGCGTTCACTCCATTCCCATGTGTAATTACCGATCATGTGTGCTTTAATATTATAATACTTCATCCTCTATGCTTTTGCTAAAAATTTTTTTGATAGGTGATGCATACTTACTAAGACTTCGTTGTAAAAGCTTTCCGTGCTTATTTTACTTCTCGGAGGAGAAGGCAATACGTAAATTTAAAATATCTTACATACCGTGCAATTTTATGTTTTAGCATCTTCAGCAGGTTTATTCAGTTCTTCAAAAGGTTTCTGTGTAAAATATATTTACAACATAGAAGTTTTTAAAAGAAGTAAGCTGGTTTTTTTATTTCATATTACACTATGATCAGCTCAAGTTAAGTAAACCTTTCTTGATTAGGTACGGGGAAATGATTACTCTTTTGGGTATAATAGAGCTATAAATTAAATAGAGACATTTTACACTTTTTGTATAGGTCTCTCTGTGTTGAATTTCAGTCTCGGACCGAAACTGCAGTTGAGAGCGTCAGGCAAAATTATACGCAACTCTAGACGAGGCCTAATTTTGTAGAGCAATTTAAATTTGAAGATCGCTGTTCTGATTTATTAATTAGGTAATTAATCAATAAATTTTTCTTCACCATTTAGAATCAAACTGACATTACGTGCAGAGTTTATTTTGTCCAGAATGATCTTTACGTGTGGGGGACGTTATTATCATTTATCGAAAAATGCAAGATGAAAAAAGCGTTGTGTCATATAAACGTGTAAGCATATATGCAAACATCCTTTTAAAACAATGTGTATAAATGTGGTAAAATTCTGAGTCTACAATGTTGGATCCCTAAGTTATCCGTCTGCTTCAATATTGGATATAGAAGAACAACTTTCAAATGGGAAGTTAAAATACAACTGCAATAATGTGAACATAAGAAAGCTAAATAACAACGTATGTACGTCCCACTTCTGGCCACAGGCTTCCCCTAATTTGAAGAGGGTTCAAGAATAATTTGTTTAAGGCACTGCTTCAGTGCGTGTTGCCGGACTTCACATGTCTTTGAAATGTTTATATATTGCAAATATGACGATTTTTGATATTTTCCTTCACCGTTGAGCACGTAGTAAATCGACACATAAAATTGCAACTAAGATTTTTATCTGTTAGGATCCAACCCGAGTATTGTGAATTTACAGCGAGAGCATAGCACCCGAAGTATCACCGTTCTGAAAACGTAATAGCTCTTCTACACGCTCTATATTACTTGCACAAATTCTACTTTGCACTAGCAAGCACGGACCTTCAGTCGGCAATACGAAAAAAAAAATAAACGGCGTGTAGACGCCATACATGTTCTTTGTGCCACAGTCTATGGGCCACAGCATCCACTTATCATCAGTTGGACTGTGTACTCGTTTGTCACCCATATTCTATAAAGAAAATCAGTATTTATAATAGAAACTGAGATTGCCAACGCATCATTCAAGAATGATAACTATGATAAATATCCCCCTATGAGGTAATCAATGGGGTTCAAATATATACACATCTATATATTTGAACCCCAATTTTTCCTTTAATTTATCGTCAATATGTAAATAAAGTGAATTTTCACAGTTCCAAATTTATGTTATTTGAATAAAAGTTTTACGGGAATTGTATTTATGGCATTATTTTGCG